GGGGTCATTGGCAATTGATCATTATTTGTCTGAAGTTGAACCATATTTGGTTTTTGTGCTCTACCCATAACAAGCGAGGAAAGGAGATAAAGAAAACAATGAACACGTAAGTTACTTTTTTTTTTTGTAATTTTTAAGTTACTATCAAACCATATGAGATAATAACTCTTGCCTATTTTTTTTAACTAGGGCAATGATGACTTATCAAACCATGAAAGAAAAAAAAAAAAAACATTCCAATTGAAGGAACCTACATGGATAATGCCTAAGGTAGTTTTGATTTGTCAAGTTAAACGAGGCTATTATTATATATAGACTAATTATATGTTCTTCCATACAAAGTCGAAGGCAACCCAAGCTAGTGCTGAATGCGGTTACTACGTGATGTCACACTTGGTCAATATCATCACTCTTGGGACTACTGAGTTTCTAAAGAGGTATTCATGTTTTTACCCATTATTTTTCATATATACTTACATGCAACCAATTATGATTTTTTGATTTTGAATATAAATGTTTGACAAACACCTATCCTTTATCATTCAATGAATAAAGGAGATTTGTACTCGTTGGCAGAAGGATTATTTAAAACTCACAAACTTATGAGTTCAAGTGTTATCATGTTTTAGATTCAATTAATGGTTTGTTTGATATGGAACAATTTCTAATTTAATTGTTATTGTTTGTTTGAAATGGCTTTTACATCCATAAAATTTGTAGGGGATTAAATTATAATATATATTGTTTTTGTTACAGTTGTTGACTATCTGGTCCTGTGGTTTTCATGTTTATAGGGAGGTTGGGAAAGAAAATGAATGGAATATTAAAAAAAAAATAACACTTTCTACACCGGTTTGTTGCATTAACCGGTGTAGAAAATGAATGATACTTTCTACCCCAGTTGTTTGTGCAATAAACGGATGTAGAAAGTGTTATTTTCTACATCGGTTTTTCGTGTAACCACACCAGTTATGTAACTGGTGTAAAAAGTTCTCCTCACAGCTTTTTTTTTTGTTCTCATCTTTTAAATGCTTTTCTACAACGGTGATTTAACCGGTGTAAAAACAAATTTTTTACACCGGTTATTAATCTGTGTAGAAAGTTAAGACATTCTACACCTTCTCATTCTACACGGTTGTGGAATTGGTGTAAAAGGCTTTTTTTAACTGGTGTAAAATGCCTTTTTGTAGTAGTGGCCTCCATCTAGTAGCTTTTGAAAAGAAGATTTGAAAATAAAATATTATTTGATCATACTACTCCAAGTTTAATCTCTTATTTTTTATTTAAAAAATGTTAATTTATGAAAAAATATAATTATCATTTAAATAGTATAATTAGATATCAAGTTTTTTTACATTATCAATTAAATAATTAATCATATTACTTTTTAGCATTAATGTATAATATTACAAATCTTTATTGCACCTTTTAAAATTATAAATTGAAAAAGTATAAATAATTAGAGATCAAGTTTTTAGCATTATAAATCCAATTTTATGTTATTTAAAATTTTTATCACAATTTTTTAAATATTTTAAATTATAAATCAATGTCCTTTTTGATAATTATACATTCAAAGGCACATTTTACTATTATAATTCAAATAACTTTTAATTTATCAAACTAACTTTTAAAAAAATGCTTTCAAACATAAATTTCATTATAATAATTGATTTTCATTAAACTGACTTTTGTTAAATGAATTTTCAACAAATAAATTGTTAACAAATTGAAAACTAAATACACACATAATCTTTTCAAAAAGTAATAAGCATTGGCCTGACTATACGTACGTACATACATACATATCTATCTATCTTTATTGGAGGCAAAAATAAGAAAGAAAGATAAAACACTTTTTTGACACTAATTATAAACGATTTCTTAATGTGTTTGAAGGTTACTTGTTGGTTATATTTAATAAATGAGCAACAATTTGGTTTAATTTAATGTTACCCCCAATATCTTTCACAAATCAAATCAAAAATCAACAAAAGATCTTGTGAATATCTTTGGAGGAACCAAGAAATCATAATCAACCATATCTGTACTTTTCTTCTTTGATTTCTTGTTTGATCATAATTCATAATCACTCTTCTTCGATTTCACAACCTTTATCATAATAATATTGTTGATTATATATATATATATATATTAATGAGTTAATCCTCTAAAAATGCAGTAATTATTGCAAAAAAAATTATAATACTCTCTCTGTTTAAATTATAAGACATTTTAAAGGTATTTCATTATCCTAAAATATAAGATAATTTAAAAAAATTAAGTTTTATTAATTATACTTTTTTAATATTACCCTTTAAGTGAAAAGAAAATTAAAATGATATTGTACCATAATAATTAGTATATTTATAAGTATTTTTGAAAGTTTATAATTTTATTTTGATAAAATAAGATTGCAAAGTATCATTATTAAATTTAAGTAACATGCATAATTTTGTTTTAAAGTATCTCATAATATGGGACTGAGTATACTTCAAAACAAAGATATTTTAGATATTTAATTAAAATCTTGATTATGGTAGGTGAATTCACGAAAAGATATTTTTTAAGGTGGGGTTTATAAAATACCCTGGTCAAAGTTAAAGATGCCGCCACGGCGCCACCAGCCATCATAAGAATTAAAAATAGCAAAATTTAATTTAATTTTAGTTAATTAATTAATTTTCAAAGGAAATGGAGGGTTGACTTCGCGAGCCAAACGGAGCAGCACGCCCACCAGAATATACGGTGGTTGTACTTTTGTATGAAACAAAACCGCACGTTGTACCTTCCTCTGTCTCTCCCCCTCTTCCGTACGTCCTCTCCCCTCCCCCTCCTTTCCTTGTTATAAAAAACACAAGCCCTCTCTCTCTTACTTCAACCTTCAAATCCTTCTCTTACAACTAAAAATCTCTCTCTCTTTCTAGACCTTTCTCTCTGTATTCTCTGGTACAATCATCACAGTCAAATCTCTGTCAAGAGAGATCAAAGCATATAGCATTACAGTACTCTCTCTCTCTCTCTCTCTCTGTGTTATATATATATATATATATATGTGAATCAGAGAAAGATGATGTTTGAAAAGCAAGGAGTGGATGGTCTTCTTAATAATCATCTTCATGATCAGCCATTAATGGTAGTGGGGATGGATCTGATAAATAAGAAGAGGAAGAAAAAGACAAGTAACCATGACTCAAAGAGAGGGTCGACGACGACGACGCTGCATCAAGAAGAAAAGCTTGAGATTGTTGATCTCAGTGGCTTGTCCTTAGATTCTCTTCCTAATCCTTCACTTAATCTCGCTACCATCACCAACTTGAACCTCTCAACAACAATCTCCAGGTACCTGCAGCTATTTCTTTCAATTAATCATATTAATATATATATATATATATATATATTAGTTTCATATTATATCCCGCCATTTCGATCTTCTGTGTTGTGTATATATTATAATTATTAGTTCTGGGTTTCTTGAAGCGTTGCTTCTGGATCTGGTTTGCTAATTAATTAGTTTGATATTCAGGAAGGGAAGGCTCGAGCTATCTTCTTCCATACCTTTAAATAATCATGCGAAGAAGGACCAGTGATTATTAATTATTATTTAGCTAGAATTACTTTTCATAAGAGTACTTTGTTCTATTGTTGAAAAATTATAAAAGACTAGAAGACCATCAGTTTAATTCGGTGATATTTTGAATTATATATAAAATTTAATTGAGTGATTATCTTTTTTTCATTCATCGATGGTTTTCTCTACCCCCAGCAATATTATATGTATATCCTGAAAAATAACTATTATATTTCATCCCATAAGTATGAGCCAAACAAGTTCTTCTATATAAGTTTTATTTTTTGCCATTAGTTTGAATCCATTGGGAAAATTAATAACAAACCATGTGTCATGAACAACACAATTTGTTATAAATTGTATGTTTTATATCATGGAGGTTGTTGCCAAATATTCATAAGAGATATATATGTGCGAACCTCATTTCAAAAGCTAACTATTGAACATCCCACTACCCAGGGACTTGTTATCTCATAACCTACCAAGTCTTCATCATGTAGGCATATAGAAAACTCATTGAAGTTTTCTTAAGCAAAAAAAAGAAGTGACAAAGCTACACTTATCCTCACTAATATATCTGCGAGAGGTTCTTACCATCAGAAGTTGCTTTGTATTATCTACAAGTGTGTGTACGTATATGGTAAATTACATATGCATGCAACACATAAAATCTTTTATATATTATATACACGCACCTATTACACTATCGGCACGCACTTAATTATCTTATATTCTTAATTTTTTTAATGTAACAATGACATCATGAGTAACCGAGAAAAGAAAAAGGACACACTTTTGGTGGAAGATGTTGAAAACTGATCGGTTCTTATCAGATAACATCTTTATAAAGACTCCCAGGGAAAGAAAAATAAATCTTGATACCCATCACTACTTTGGACTTTTTATTTTCCTTCACATTATTATAATTCAGTCTTTGAAATATACCATTTTGCATGCATCACATATTGCTGACTTTTGTGTCATAGTTGCAAAAATTAATGATTTTTTCATATTTTTAATCTGTTTCTAAGTAACGTTAATTTTTATATTGCAAGATCGTTGGTAATTAATACTTATATGATGCTATCATTAGTCATTAATTAATTAATAATAATATAATAACATCACCATAGACGTTACGTATGATAAGAATAAGTTTTACTTAATATAGAAATTAATGTGCCTAAGAATCTCAACAATACAACTTATGTGTATATAGTAAGACAAAGAATCTCACATCTAGTTATATAGCTGGAAAATCATACATGTGCATACAAATACATTAATACATAAGAAATAAATACATGACCTTTCATGAACTTGAAGAAGCAAATAAGCCCCCCCTCCCTCTCTCTGACAGATAAATGCATGTCTGTGTTAAAAATAATGATTAGTGTTAAGTTGGTATGATAACTAATCAGAATAAATAATGAGACAGAGCATACCGGAGTCGTTAACGGCGAGATTGCTGAACGTGGTGGTGTTGGACGTTCACTCTAATCAACTCACGTCGCTTCCAAACTCCATCGGCTGCCTCTCAAAGCTCAAAATCTTGGATGTCTCCAGCAACCTCCTTGAATCCTTACCCAAGACCATTGAGAATTGCAGGTATATATATGTTTCTTCTCTTTTGATAAATCATATAATATTCCGTTATAAATGTTTTTAAAACTAATTATACTTGAATTTTTTAGACCAAAGTGCATCTTAATTTATTTTTTTTAACTTTATAAAAAATTCAGTTTGATTATTTAATTTTATAAAGTTTTTTTTTTCAATTATTCGACCTTAGCATCATCAGTCTCAAATGATGATTTTGTGTATCAATTATTGATATATATAAAAAATTAATTTGTCAATTTTAATAATATTTTGTTAACAATTAAAAGTTTGATGTCAGTTTTTTTTAATTAACAGTATTAAGATTAGAAAACTGAAAAAAGACATTTTATAAATTAAAGAATCAAAATAAAAAAATTTAAAAAAATTAAAGGTCTGGGTGGAGTTGACTAAATGTAAGGTTATGCTCTGAGTAAATTGCACTTAAAATGTTTTGATTGAGGTAAAATACTTCAGGTAAAATACTTTAGTGTAGGGTTTAGGTGATCCTGTAATTAAAGGTAATAAATTTATTTAAATTATATTTAATAATCAATATACCTGGACGAAAACAATAGTATTACTAAAAAAATTAAAAATGGTGTTGTATTTATTCTAGAAGAAAACGCAATACCGTGAGTGGTCACTTTTTAAATAAATCAAGGCTGGATTTTCTTGATACTGTCAAAAGATGGGCTTACATTGTCGTGCAATATGACCCAAAGTGGGGAAACAGTATGAAACACTTGAACATGCTTATGTTTGTCCAACATTACATTGATAGTAATAATTATTCATTTGACTAAGATATACACCTACTTATATGTGTGGCTGGCCTTTGTTTTCCCTTAGACCCTAGAGCAACTAGGCATACGAAATCCATCAAATCTGAGTATATATATATATCAACGTGTCATCACGAGATTTGAGAGCGTAATAAGTGGTTAATTAATTGATAAATATTTTAATTTTTTAATACATCACGTGGAAAAAAAATTCTGCAAAATTTACAAGAATTAGTTCATGTCAGATTTTAAGAAGATTTTACATCATGTAAGCAATTGATCAATTAAAAATAATAAATTTAAATTATCTTAAAATATTTAATGTGCAACTATATCAATATATTTGTTAGCTTTTAAATAGTTTATTTGTTAATTGATAGCTCTTTATAAGTACTAGGCTAAAGCATGCATGTTGTCTCATGTACCAGAATGATGTACTTGGGGATAATAATCTTAATTAATTATTGCCCTGGGCCATACATAAAAATATTAGTAGTCTAGCGTAACAATGAATATACCCATAAATTATTTTGACCGAAAAGTATGCCTCACAAGTCACATTTAATTTTATCCTATATTTTTTGTGCTTCTCGTTGAATTATTATTTATTGTGCCTTCTTAATTTTAATATACCAAAAATACATATAAAATATTTTTTCAGCTCTGCTGAGATGATGCTGGGAAAGATTTAGAATCTTTCGAAATCGAAAGCTATGTTAGAAATTTCGGCGATAAATTGGAGGGTGGGAAGACATTGTTGAAAAACAAAATGAAATAGAAGAAAAATATCTTTTAAAAAAATCCTTACTATATAGCTTGAAGCTTGAGATGAAAATATTAAAAGATAAAATAAAACAAAAAATCAGGAAAAATATATGCAAGTCTTCTACCATTAGCAGAAAATTCAATCTCTAGCGAATTGAAGTAAATCTGTTTGCGGAACGACATAATAAATTAATACGCTTCCCTTTACTTAATGGGGAAGCTATCTACAGAGTGCTAAATGAAAGCAACAATATTATATAGTATATATTTTATCTTCAGTTAATTCATATATTTTCCTAGTTGTTACATCAACGAATAAAAAATAAAACTATTCTAACTAATTTATGTTTTGATTTATCTTCACCAGAGCTTTAGAAGAACTAAATGCCAACTTCAACAAGCTAACCAAGCTTCCAGAAACCATAGGGTTTGAGCTCGTCGGCCTCAAGAAGCTATCAGTGAACTCCAACAAGCTTGTCTTTCTTCCTCACTCCACCTCCCACCTCACCGAACTCCGTGTCCTTGACGTCCGCCTGAACTGCCTCCGGTCACTGCCAGACGACCTCGAGAATCTCATCAACCTCAAAACCCTAAACGTCAGCCAAAACTTCCAATACCTAGAAACCCTACCTTACTCAGTAGGGCTCCTCTTGTCCCTTGTAGAACTGGACGTCAGCTACAATAGAATCAAGTCCTTGCCGGAGTCCGTCGGCTGCCTCAATAAGTTAGAGAAGCTAAGCGTCGAAGGGAACCCCCTGACGTCGCCGCCGAAGGAGGTGGTGGAGCAAGGAGTGGATAAAGTGAAGGAATACATGTGTCACAAGTTGAACTCAGTGCATGAGAGTCCCAAGAAGAGGTCTTGGGTAGGTAAGTTAGTTAGATGTGGAACCATAAACGGACGATGCACAAGGAACGGACAAAAGATGATTTTGCTCTTGGACCTCAGTATCGTGCCGTGGAAGGTCTTGGATCACCGAGGTTAATGGCCATGTTCTCTCCAAAGCGACTCTTTTCGCCTCGTCGTTCTGTGTAATTCACAAGCTTGTGTAGATTTTACAGTAGACTTTTCGTTGCAGGTTAATTTAGTAGCTAGGTCCGGTTTCACGTTAGACTTAGTAGAGTTAAATTTTACTGGTTGAATATGTCATAGAAGTGACGTATATGCATGGATATATAATATGATCGACTTGTAAAGTGAGGGTAGGTGATGATATATGGCTCTGTAAAACTATATAGGCCTCTCTAGTTCGTGCTTTTTTCTTGGTGTCATTTTCATTCTAGTTTACGTAGGATTGCGTCAACAATATATAGCTAGGAACGTGTGCATATTTATATGTATATATGGTCCTGTATTTTTTTTCATGGATTGATATATGTGGCCTATCGACATGTATGTAATGAAGGTGAAGTTGAATTATTTGGATATTCAAGTGTGAGTGATTTGAGTAGAACGTGGGATGTTTCACTTGAATGAAGCTAAGCTTAATAACTAACATAAGGTAAGTAGAAATTTGTTCTTCCATGTGCTCTTGCAAATTTTTCTCTCCCAACATTTCCGAGCTGTGGTTTCACACATTACTAACAAAGTCAATCTAAGTCAGATTTCGCCACCAATAGATTGATGAAACCTTATTATCTATTTAACATCTATCATTGTTCTCCAACAATTGGTACTAAGATTATATACTTCAACTATACACGCAAGTTGTTGTACTCCTTCAGAAGGCAACCTTGACGCCCGAATCCGAAAATGCCTGAAACCCAGCCTCTGGGTTGACTTGGAGATTCCGGAATAATCTTATCCTTTCTTGTTCTTGGGTTCCAAAGGAACAAGTGGCCCTCGTCACTAAGTAAAAGTTTCTGATTGTCTCCTTGATCGATCCCATTACAGTGACCATAAATTAACCTCATATGCTCTTATGAAGGAGAGGTTCTAGGTCGCCGAGCACATAAAAATAACAAGGTTGCTCTTTGGAGATGAGGGATCATATGTAGGGTATCTTTGTGAGGCGGTGGACATGGAAGACAAGCTTGAGGTGGCGAGTCTTGGTGATAGAACTGGAACGTTGAAGATGTTGGGAAATAAAACTAGAGTCAGTGATTTGGGCGTGCCAGGATTGGATTCACATTTGAATCGAAGCAAGGATTCTACTGGCAGCCACGTCATAATCTCACTCATGAGATCTTCAGGAAGATTGGACTCAGCATTTTCTTTGCCCTTTACGAAAACACAAGATTAGGAGGAATGGACGACAGACACCACATCTAAAGTCAGGCTCAAGTTTTGGATCCGAAAACTCCAATGAGCACTGAAATTGCTCAGCAGTCAGCATGATGTTGGGATTTAATATGTGGCAAAAAGATATATATATATATATATATATATTAAGAAAGATCTGGTTTTCCATGACAAAAAGATATGGGTTTGGGAGAACAGCGAAAGACCACTCAAGCAAGTTATTCACAAGCAAAGACCAATATAAAATTAATTGTTATTAAAATAGAAATGTAATTGGTTTTTTTTCTAATGAGACTTGTTATTAGTTCTTATCTATGAATAATTTATTTGAGTGGTCTTTGGATATGATTCTCTCTATGAGTTATTAATGGTTATATTATATGTATTTACAATCTATTAATTTTCGCAGGAAAAAATGAATATCCTTTTGTCATTTTCCCCGTATACAACACTTTTTTTCAAGGAATTCTTTTTTATATATAGAAAAGAACTCTTAATCACATAGTATTATCCCTCCTTAAAAATTAGTCATGATAAAAAGGAAGATATGTAATTACTTTTAAAAGATAATCAATAATTTAGGGAAATTAAAGTAATGTCAAAGAATAAAAAACTAAAGTTCCTTCCTAAGTAACAATTATGTTGGTTCGGTTATGTATGTGATAGAAGGAAGAGGAAAGAGAGGAAAAGGAGGGAATGATGCCTGAGCAAAACGCTATTCAATATTCAAAGTTGAATACAACGTTTGTTATAGAATACTAGATAATAAAAAATCAAAATTTAATATAATCATAAAGAATAACAAGTATAATCTAGATTTATATCTATATATCCTATTTATTAAAATAAATAAATTCTAAGAAAGATACTAATAAAAATATAATTAAATTCTAAATAATTTAATGGATTTAAATAATCTAATAAAATAATTTTAAACATCTAAAATAAAGATAATTGCATGTTTGTTTTCAATTATGTAAATCAAAGCATGTGAATTTTTCATATATAATTTATTTTATAATTTTTTTATTATTAATATTATCAAAATATTAAAATTTACATGTCTTGATTTAATTGAATATATATGTGTAAGACTTATCTAAAATTTTTTTCTCTATATATATATATATATAGATATATATACATCCCACACATCAATGTATTCAAACTTTGATGAGCTTAAGTGTCTGTCCGTTCCAAGCTTGGACTTTCTGGTCAATTTTTCCCCTTATAACATTTTTTTAAATTGTTGTATTACTCGAAAAACCTATTTTTTAGAGGCCAACTCCCTTGCTAAATCATGTAACTTTGCACTAGAATTTCTCTAAATTTTCTTCTTCTAGCTTTTTTTTCTATTTTTTTTCCTTTAAAGATAAGCATAGTTTGTTCCTTTCTTAGTTGACGACAAGTTGGATTTAAAATAAGCTTAAGGTATAAACAAATAAGATTTTCTTTAAAAAAATTCTGTTTCGGCAACGGCAAAATGAATGCATTCAATGAATCAATAAAAAACTCACAAAAAAAAAATAGGGAGAGCATAAAAGTAAAATAAAATATTCAATGTTTCCATCGATTATGATTGAGTCTAATAGAATAGGAATCAAATCAAGTTTCCATTGAAAGATGTGCCTAATTTGGTGGGCCATTATATCTTAAACACGAAAATACCTATGTACAATAAAAAAAAGAGTAAGATATTTAGATCTCTCCCTATATTTTTATCTTAATTACAGATTCCTCATGTCTATTTTTTAAATATATATAAACCTCTTCTAATATAAATAGTACAAAATACAAACATACTCTTTATTTTTAAGATTTTAGTTCACCATAAAGTTACATGTATTGGACCAAAATATACTTCTTTAAACATAAATATTGTCTAGAAATCATTCAAATATCCAAAAAATTAATGTATATATATTTTTTCTTTTTATTTATATATAAAAAATTTTAATTATGTAAATGTATTTATTTAGTATTTTTTTTAAAATTAAATATATAATTTGGCTCAAATAATGTCAAACCACAATAAAAATTAGGAATAAGAATTTAATAAAATAAATTACTCAATATAATTTATCTTTATTTCTCTTTAAATTTCATTAACTTTAACACAAAATTTTTAAATTATTTATTTAAAATTGACATACTTAATTATTTAAATTTTCCTAAATTGGGAGAGAATAGACAATTAGATTATAAGGGAAAAATAATTTTAAAATTTTTGACATATTTACGAATAAAAGATTATGTATTTTAGAAAGAACATTCCTAATGGTGTGTTAAATATTATACTAAAGTGCTAGTTTTGGGGGGGGGGGTTCTAGTTTTGAAAATAGAGGAAAGGTCTCTATAATTTTAATAACTATAATTTTAATAAAATGGAAGGGAGGTCACTATATTTTACTCCTCCTTACCAAAGGAACCAAACTTAATTTCCACCACAGTAAAAAAACAAGTCACTACAAGTCACTTCTAGAACGGGGTTTTGAAAACCTATGTACCATCTTTCCATTTTGATGATCATAAGAAATCAATCGACCAATATCTTCTTTGAGAAGAATCTCATTATCTCCCCAAAACCCTACTTTGGTCGAGTCTTGCATGTGTATGACGATCTCAAACTTCTTAGTCCAGCTACTCCCAACACCGTACTCATTCATCACCCAAATCTCAGATTTCGACCTCCGTAAGGTGTAACAATGCAAGCAAGAGCCTCGTCAATTACAGAAACATTCTCAACAACATGAAAACCAGCTGATGCTGTGGTACGAGGCAATTTGATTGTCCTGAACACCTCAAAGCTGAAGATAAGGTCGTTCTTCTCATATTCCATTAAGTAAACTAAACAATGATAAAAACTCATTCAAATAAAACTCGTAATCTGTATAATACCATCCCAAAACCTGGCACAACAATATCTAGTATCTTCAACAATTAGTACTAAGATAATATATATTTCAACTCACGTTCTACTCCTTCTTCCAAAGGCCATCTTGAAACTCGAACAACCTTGTACTCCTTGTAATGTGATCAAACTCTAATCCAAACTTGCCTAAAATCATGCCTTTGGGTTGACTTGGAGATTCCGGGATAACCTTATCCTCTCTTTGTTCTTGGGTTGCAAGGAATAAGTGGCCCCTCTTCACTACGTAAAAGTTTCCGATTATCTCCTTGATCGATCCCGCGCTGAGACAGAAAATCCCAATACAGTGACCATGAAACCTCAAACGCTTCTTACATATGAAGAACAAATTTTATATCGTCGAGCACATAATAAGGTTGCTCTTTAGTACAAGAATTTCGCATCTTACCATTTCCTTTCTCTGTTCATTCTTTTCTAATCATAAGATTAATTAATTGATTATGGATGATTCATATTGATTTTGTATAAAATATTTTTTTATTTTTTCTTGTACGGCATTTTAAAACTATTTAGATTAAATTTAAATTTTAGCAGTCTAATTTGAATGTGAAGTGTCTAAATTTTGAAAGGAGGGGATGGGAGATCTAGAATCATGGTACGTCTCTATTTTCTCTCGCAGGCCTGAGAATCAGCCTTTGAACCACACAACACACCTTCAATCTCTCGTTAAAACCTAGAGCAACAACGCACCCACAGGAGAGAAAGAGACAATCATAGATAATTAATTTACTTTGAAACAAAATGCTTAGCACCAATCTTCCTGAAGATCTCATGACGAAGATTATGGTGAGGCTGCCTGTAAAATCCTTGCTTCGATTCAAATGCGTCGCCAAATCTTAGTACGCTCATATCACTAACTCTTCTTTTATCTCCAAACATCTTGAACTGTCAAATTTGATCACCAAGAATCGCCGCCTCAAGATTATCTTCCATTTGAGTACTCGCAAAGTCCCGTCCTGCACATCCCTGTTTTTTGAAGATCAGAGTCCCTATGCAATCCAGTACGATCTAGAATTTCTCCCAAGGAATGATTGGGGTTTGAGCTTAACTTACGAACAATGTAATGGGATTTTCTGTTTCTATGGGGAATTTAATCCGATCTCCTCTGGTTCTAAGGGCCGAATAATCTTGTGGAACCCAGGAACAAAAGAAGTCAAGGTTATTCAGCCCTCTCAGACGGAACCAGAACCCTAGAATGTACCAGGGTTGGATTTGGCTTCGAACCCACCAAAGAGGATTACAAGGTTGTTCGACTTTCAAAC